ACTGAGCACGCTGGGGCCCTTCCACACTCGTCACACCCACATCTGGGCTTAGGTCTGCTTTGAGGGGAACCTGAAGCAACAAGGCGAGGTACAGAACAAAAGGAAGGGAGCGCAGCCCCTGACCTCAAGGGTCAGGCCACTGAGGATAGGATCCAGGCAGAGATGTGATAAGGCCCCGAAGAGGCCATGACAAACGTTCCTGTTTCTGACAGCTGCTGTAACAACTTGATTTTTCTTTCACAGTCTGGAGGTCAGGAGTTCTAAACTCCAGGCATCTGCAGGGCTGCATCCCACTGAGGGCTCTGGGGGCCTCTGCCCTGTGCCTTCTCTGGCTGTCAGTGACCACCACGTCCCTGGCCCATGGCCGACTTCTCCATTTGCAGAACGGCCCCTCCCCCTCCCTGACCTCTGCTTTTGCTGTGTCCCCTCCTTCTCTGACTCCAACCCTCCCACCTCCCTCTTAGAGGGCCACGCATCTCCAAGGGGCCCTACCTAATCTAGGGTTAGCTCTCATCTTAAGATCTTTGATTTAATCACATCTGCAAAGTCCCTCTCGCTGCTTAACACATGAGGAATCAGGGCATGGACACTTGGGACCATTGTCCTGTCTACCCCACCATGCACTGGGTACAGAGAAAGATTTCAGGGAGGGGGTCGATTCCCACATCTCCCCTGAGCTGTCCTGGCTGGAGCCGGGGCCTTAGACCTTGTCATATCAGTGGGGGTAGCAGCCTTGAGGATGGTCCCTTAACAGCATTGGTCAACTCTGGCTCAACAGGCACTTCTGAAGCCCTGGTGGTCTCTGCAGGGACTGAGCTCCAGGACACAGACAAGGCACTATGGCCTCAAGAGGAGGCAGCTTGGGCTGATGGTGGCCAGTCAGGGGCAAGACCCCTGGACCATTCCTGGGTCTTGTCAAGGGGGCTCACATGGAGTGTCTCACTGGGCCCAAATCCCAATCCCTTGTATGGTCAGTGACCCCTTGCCTTTAACACAGACCTTCAGGGACAGTGGGCACCTTGGTCCAGCAGCCATGGAAGGCCCTGTATGCCCCCAGGCTCTTAGGCCCTCAAGCTGATCCCACTGGGGCCACCTGGCTCCATATCCCAGGTCCTGGACACCTCAAGCCCTGGGGGGATGTCCCATGTGTTCATAACCTCAAGGCCACAGAACCTGTGTTTCATGGCGGACCTCTGGGAGGACACACCACTTACACCTCATGCCACAGCCAAGGTGATCAGGACAAGGGAGGGACATAGCCAGCTGCCCTGAGCTTCCCAGGAGGTGGGCAGCAGCATAGTCAGCCCCTCACAGGCCAGGTTTACGGCCACCGTCAGCTCAATTGTTGGATTTGTCCCTCTAAGGGACCACGTTGCCCTGTGGCCAGGCCCTATTGTCACTTGGGGGCATCCTGGTCCCTTCTCCCCCAACCCCAATCGCTCCACCCCTGGGTTGTCACCACTGAGCTTAGGAAGCTGCCAGAGACGGCCTCATGCGGCAGGGGTGATGGGAGGAATTACAGCCCGCAAAGGCTGATGCATCAGAGAGACACGGAAAAGCAAAGGGCTTATTAAAATGCTGAAATTGGTTCTAAATGAGGTCAGCCGTCGATGTGCCTTGGAGGGAAGCCAGGCGCTGAGCAGTAGAGAGCAGGGCTTACTTCCTGACTCAGTGTCGGTGACACCCGTGCACTGTCCCCACCCCTCCACAACCTCTGGAGGGCAACTTGCGCCCAAAATGCCAGAGTAGAGACAGTCAGGGGTGGGAGCAGGGGAGGTGGGCGTCATGCTCCCTAGCTCAGGACCCAGCTCCTCCTGTGCCCCACAGAGACCCCAAGGAGCAGGTCAGCCGGTCAGCACTCCTGTATGTCTGAGGGCACCTGAGCAAGGAAGTGTCACCTCTGACGAGGGTGAGGGCAGGAGGAGAGCTGAGCGTTGTTTCCTTATCCGGGGGTCAGGTTGCTCCTGTTTAAAATCCATTAATGCAAGGCCGGCACAGCATACAGCCCTCCCATTGGACTGGCTCCCTCCTACCTGCCAGCCTCCACAGATTTTTCCCTGTAGTTGCACTTCTTGTCTGAGTGTCCCTTCCTCCTGACTCCAGGGGAATTTTTTTGACCTTGGCCTCCACCTAAGAGCGCCAGTGTTGGGGTCCCTGATCTAGGGCTGGGCCTGCCCTGCCTTGATGGCTGTGTGACCTCAGCGGTGTTGCCTAACGTCTCTGTGGCATCATCTGCCTGTGTATGAGAGAGGCTGACTGCAGACCCAGTCACCGAGGCTGGTGAGGATGAAAGAGAGCCACGCGGGGGAGCTTGGCGCAGGCCTGGTTGCTATCTCTTATTAATCGCTAGTACTCACTAATTATTATTTCTGAGAACAGCTGAATCATTTCTGTCAAATGCGAGAGGAAGGCCGAAGTTCCAGTTCTGAGTTGGATAAAGAAAGGGTCTTTCAGTGCCTGTTAAAAATAAAACGTGTGCATGTGGTACCCTTCTGCTCACAGGCCGAACACCTCCCTTCCTGGAGCGCCCTGGACTGTGGGTCTCATCCTGTGTCCCTGAGGAGTGAAGCCAGGGCAGGCTTCATCTGGGGCTCTGGCCCTGTTTCTGGGCCCGCCCACCAGCCCCTCACTCATAGACTTGGGCTGAAGGAGGCTGGAGGGTTTGTCTTTCTTGTCATGCAACTTCCTCTGTCTTTGGAAAGGGTGGAGGCTGTGTTGGAAGATGCTTCTTTGAGGTTGCCCCATGGACGCAGAGGGTGGAGCAGGATTGGACCCCTGGCAGGAGCATGATGCCTCCTGCCCGTGAGAGGGCAGGTGCCTCTTACTGTGGGCTGTGTGGTGCTTATTTTACCTGTTATCCAGCTGAGGCCACCTGGGCAGCCATGAGACTACTGGGAGGGTTCACCTGAGCCAGGAGCCTTGTGCAGAGCCTGGTAAGCCCCCTCTGTCCCTGCTGGCTCTTGTTACCACAGGTGCTAGAACAGGCATCTACATGCAGCCCTGGGAGGCTCTTTGAGTCACGACCTCACTGCGGTTGTTACCAATCGCAGGAGTGAATGTCCAGGGCTCATTTTTATCTGTATGCCAGATGCCTGTGGCCTCCCTGTGTCAGGAGGTTCAGGAACAGTCTGGACAAGAGGGTAGTTACCCTTGGGCACACATGCACCAGGGCCACGGGAAGACCAGGCTCTGGGGGACTGGGAGCCTCCCTTGGCCTGAAAGTCAGGCTGGCTGAACAGGGACACACTGATAGCCAGGTGTGTTCACAAGCTCAGTTCTCACCTGCCTGGGCTGGGGTGGGGTGAACGGTGTCCCTCTGGGTACCGCTAACAGGAGGGTCTCGTGGTCTCACATGTCTTTTTGTCTTCTGGACATTTGGCTGTGCAGGGCCTTCTGATTGCTAAGGGACACAGAGCAACACCCCCATGTCTAGGACAAGCCTAAAACGTTCTCCAAATTCCACATTCCTGTAAAGACCCAGGTATTCCTTTCCATGGCATGGAGCTTACAGCACAACCTGTCCTCATGACTATCTGAACACCTCAATGTGGGTGCCAGACCCAGACATCCATGTGCCCCGAGGGCTCAATTCTTGGTTTGTCCATAGAGAAGGAGGAACCAGAAGAGAAAAAAGGAAGGAAAGGAGGGAATGGGGGGCTCCCTGTGCAGTTGGAGAGCTCTGTCCACCTGCAGAGCAGACAAGGAGCAAGCAGAGTGTCTGAGGTGGCTGTGTGTCAGGTCTGCTCTGCAGGAGGACGCAGTCCTGCAGCGATGACACTGGTTCATGGCCATGGGCACATCTGTGCAAAGGTCCCACAGCTGGTGTGGGTGAAAACTTTGGGGACCAGCTGCCCTGAGGGCTCAGCTTCACACCAGGCCTGCTCTAGACAAGAGGAGCTATGGGTTTCGGAGCTTCAGACAGGGAGAAGGCCTGTCAACTGCTGCTTCTCAGAGGCTGTCACCCCCAGCACTGCACCCTGGGGCCTGCCCATCCTCCCACCCTCAGTCTGCCCAGTGACGCCCCTATGGTGCAATGCACCTCATCATCCATCTGCTGCCACCTAATCACCCTATACCCCTGCCCCACACCCCCTGCTCCCCACCGCACATGATGAACTCCACACTCCCCTGCCCCCACCACACACAATGCACCCCATGCCCCACGCCCCACCACATGATGCGCCCCACACCCCCTGCCCCCCACCATGCACAATACACCCCAAACCCTTCTGCCCCACCAGCACTCAAGGTGCTCCCCAGACACTTCTGTGCCCCACCATGTGGTGAACCCCATGTGTTCATCTGTTGCCCACCACCCATGATGTGCTCTATGTGTTCATTTGCCCTCTCACCCCAGCGATGCACCTCATGCCCACCTAGGCGATGCCCCCTACTCCTTTGTAGTGATGTGGTGCCAGCTGGACTCTGTGGGGAAACAGGGAAGAGACGGGAGTAGAGCAGCTGCCATGGGGACTAACGCGGCCCAACCTGGAGACAGGAGCTTACGTTTGGGTGGGAGCCATCCCTCCCTCCAGCATTACAGACAGGCAGGCCTTGTGGGCCAGGCCCACGGCAGCTGGAGGCCAGCACTCACAGGTCACCTTGGAGAGACCCCTCAGGCCTCACTGCTTCTCCATGGGTGGGAGTGCACGGGGCCCATTCCAGTGGGGACTGGACAAGGCCACTGTGTATAGCTAGTGGGTGCCTGGCTGGAGGGCATGTGCATGGCTGCTGGCTATAGGGAGACCTGCTTTTGGGACAGTCAGAAAGGACAGAATCAGCCTGTCTGCTTTGATTCCCACTGATGGTACCCGTGCGTCATTAGTGCCAATTAGGGAAGGCGGAAGGCAGATCTTTGGCCTGGGGCACAGGGAATGGGAGGCTGGTGGGACAATTGAATTCCCCACCAGACAAATGTGATTACTGCTGTAGCCTGGACCCACCCCCATGGAGAGCTGGGGCATAAATGGCCAGGCGGGCCCAGCAAGCTCACCCCCGCCATGAAGGTTCCCAGCCACCGGTGTCGCTGGGCCACCCTGCCCAGCCCCAACGCGCGTGAGGCGGCCTCCATGTACGGCACGGCAGTGGCCATCTTCCTGGTCATCCTGGTGGCTGCGCTGCAGGGCTCAGCACCCGCCGAGAGCCCCTTCCCCTACCGAGTGCCCTTGGACCCCGAGGGGACCCTGGAGCTCTCATGGAACGTCAGCTACAGGCAAGAGGTCATCCACTTCCAGCTCCTGGCCCGGGCGCTCAGGGCCGGGCTCCTGTTCGGGATGTCGGACCGCGGCCAGCTGGAGAACGCAGACCTTGTTGTGCTCTGGACCAATGGCAACAGTGCCTATTTTGCGGTAAGCCTTCCTCCCCACCAGCTGTGCCGATCTCGGCCCTAGCACCTCTCTGGCCTTCTCCCCACACCCTCCTCTCCTCAAAGGGAATTTTCCTACCACCTCTCAGAGTTTGCTTTACTCTGATCTAAGCCAAGTCCATGCCCCAAGCTCAGGCTGGGCATCATGGGAACGCTGATTTGAGGGCAAAAAGGGAGATAGATGTTTTCCATGGACTGTGACTATACACTGTAACAGCTGGACCTGGCATCCTAAGGAATGGGGCTGCACAGAGGACGCACGTGCCACCTAGGCCCCAGTACCCCATACCCTCACTGCCATGAGTGCAGATCCCAACACCCCCACTCTGGCAAACCATGCCAGGCACTGCACTCCCAATGCCGAGGGTGGCATGTGGCCAGGCATAGGCAGCAGCTGCACCCCCGGCACCCACATGCAGCCATGCAGACCTACTGGCCTCACACACCCCTCCTCCCAAACCCCCCTCCACTCCTGTGTCGGGGGTGGAGAAAGGGCAACAGTTTCCCTTCAGACTGGAAAGGACTGTAAGGCCCTCCACAAGCTGCAGAGGGTCCCAAGAGGAGGGAGAGCCCTCTTCCTCCCTAGATGGGACTGGCTACCAGGGTGTTTGGGGGATGAAACGCAACTCTGATTTTTTTTCCCTTGAGTCAGGAGGCCTCCCTTTGTCTGTGAGGACTGCAGAGCTGGGTGGGTGTGGGTGAGGTGAGTCCCAACAGAGAGCCAGCTGGCCCCCGCCTCCACCTCACCATCTGCACAGTAGGGAGAACATCCCGGCTGCCTTTCTGGGTGGCTGTGAGCTCACAGGGCCGAAGGTGCTATCTTGCCCCTAGTCCCCGAGACTCAGCTTGGCCCTTCCCACAGGTGAGGCCCTGAGGCTGGGCCAGAGCCTGGCAGGACAGGGCAGACACTGCAGCCACCTGGGCAGGGCCCTGCTCTGGCCTCCCATGCGTGGGGATGCTCAGTGGCTCAGGGGATCACGGCCAAGAAAGACCCAGGATGCCGGGGCTCTGAGCCCTGCTGCTTGCCCTGGGGGCTTGCCTGAGCTTCAGCTCCCACGCACCGCAAATCCAGGAGGGTTTGCTCCACGGCTTGGGTGGGTTCTCCTTTGCCAGCATTTACTGGATGCTGAGAAAGCCGGGGTGATCTCACCTCTCTGCACACGAGCAACATTAATTTGCACAACAAATTCCTGTGAAAACAAATGTCAGACTCGCTGTTCCTCCTTTAGCTTAGGTTCAACAAACACGGTCTAGATTTCCTGCTGAAGCACCACATGCTAACTTTCTGCCTCCGTTTAAAATTAGTCCCTCTGCAAACCAGCGGTGTCCCTCGGCAGGAGCTGCTTCATGTCACTTTTCTCTAGGGAAAAATTTGCAAAATCTCTTGCAGATTTCTATTTTCTCAAGGAAATGAAGAAAACATGTCCCAGCCGTGGCTGTAGGATTAAATAGGAACAACTGCAAATCCTTTCAGCCAAGGGCCCCTGGTACTCCTGGGTCCGAGGGGCCCTGCCCACTGGGGGCTCTGCCACCCTATGCCCTGTCTCTGGTGGGCTGCTTCCCTGTGCCTTCCCCGGAGCCAGCTGCATCCCTGTGCCTTAGCACCTGGCCAAGGGGAAGCAGGTCCTGGGACACGTCCTGGGGAAATGCAGCAGGTCCAGTTCCATCCCAGGCCTCAGTTCACCTTCTCCAACAAGGCTGGGGTGCCTGGGTATGGAGAGGGCTGCCCACTGTCAGTGCTGTGCAAGGGCACTGGGGGCTAGCACCACTCAGGCACCACACCCTGGTCTCTCTCCTGCCCTGTCCTGTGTCCTCCTGTCTCCCTTTTCTGAGGCTTCAGAAGCTATCACATCCCTCCCTGTTGGGTAGCCAGGGGCAATGCTGGTCTGAGGCCCTTGTTCCCAACTCTGGGGGGGCTGGGGAGCCTCAGGCATCTTCTTAGCACTACAGATTCCTGCATCCCCTCCCACCTGTGATCTGGCCAGTGTCTGAGGGCCTCACTCTTTAGGCAGAAGTGAGGGGGTGAGTCCGACAGCCCTCCATCTCCACTAATGATAAAGGGGACTCATCTCCGCAGGATGCCTGGAGTGACCAGAAGGGGAAGGTCCATCTGGATGCCCAGCAGGACTACCAGCTGTTGCAGGCACAGAGAACCCCAGAGGGCCTGTCTCTGCTCTTCAAGAGGCCCTTTGCCACCTGTGACCCCAAGGACTACCTCATCGAGGTAGGTGGTGGCCCGAGTACCTAGGATGGCATGGGCTGCATGGGACTCACTTGAATCCCAGGTCAGTGTCAGGCTGTGTCCCTTTCCTGTCCCTGAGAAATCTGGGGCTTGGGTCTGGGCCAGTTATGGCAGAGAGAAAGCCCAGGACAGCTGCCCGGAGGCTGCTGGCCAAGGTCAAGGTGGGTCACGCCGGCAGCCCCTGACTCCCAAGGAGGCATCCCCTTGCTGATGTTAACCATCGTCTTGCCTGAAGCCTCCTTACCAGGACTGACGGTCATTCCCAAATATTCCCCTCCTCTTGATACCTTCTTGCAGATAGAATTCTAGAAAGAGTCCAGGAGACCTGGCTTTCCAGCCCTCCACTGTTGCCAACTCTGTGTATGTCTGGGGCAGGTCTCTTCCTCCTCCAGATGTGGGCTTGCCAACTATGAAGTAGGATGGGAGCTAGATGGTCTGTGAGGCTAAGCTAACTCTGTGTAGTTTATGGCCATAAAATAAATCTAAAAGCACTGGGGTCTTGCTGCTCTGAGACTCCCCCACCCCTAAGGGAAAACAACTCACCTTGCCTGGAAGACATACCTTTTAAATGCTCTAGCACTTTGACGTCTGTCAATCTGCATGGGCTGGCCTGGTCCTATGGACACAATAGAGTGGCCACATGGAGAGACTAGTGCCACTGAGAGATTCATTATAATTCCCAAGAAGGGGCACACAGCATGCAGGCCACATGGGGAGCCCCAGGCCTGGACAGGAGGGAGGACTGAAGGGAGCCCGAGCTGGAGCTTCCTCTGGGTTCCCATGGAACAGGCCGGGCAGCGGGGGAACAGTTTAGCCGGGTAATTCCAGTCAGCTCTGGGCTGTAGGGAGGGTCTCTAGGGGCCTGATTCCTCAATCACTCCTGGGGGTGACTCAGGGCTGGGTTGATACTGGCTTGCAGTGAAGAGTCAGAGGGAGGAGAAAGGTGAAGGCATGGGCTCAGGAAGCATTGGTGGGTTTGCAATGAATCTCACACACCTGTGGAAGCTGGGTTGCAGGCTGGATACAGACTCCTTTGGTCTTCCTTTTGGCCCTGGATGGATGATAGACAAATTATAGGATCTAAGAAAAGAGAAAAAATATGAGACATCAGTAGATGAGGAAGCTGAGGCCCCAAGAAGGACAGACTTACCCGGGCAGAGCACACTGGGGACAGAGTAGGAGCCAGGGGAGGTGTCTGCCTTCCAGGACAGTCCTTCCCTCCTCACTGGCCCAGAGAGTCCTCTGGAAGGACCTCATGAGGGAGGCTGCTGCCTGGGATGGCTCAGTCAGAAGCTCCAGATTGGCCTTGGAGCCTCTGTAGAGAGTGGCCCATGGGCCTCCATAAACTCAGAGGGAATTAGCCACAGGTGTGCCTCTTGGGGCCCAGAAAACATCATGAGGTGTCTCCAGCACCATATACCATGTCTGGGTGCTGGTCTCTGCTAACCCAGTACATGAGAGTACCGGCCTGCTCACCCCAGAGTGTCTGCCCCTAGTCTTCCACCCACCAATAGGATCTTTTGGGTCTGCACTGTCTGTGGAGGCTGGTGGGGCTGGTGGTGGCTGATTCGGACAGTGCAGCCCTCCAAGTCGCCTGTCACTGTAGCCAGCCCCAGTTAGAACCTCAGAACCCTTCACTTTGTGGAGGGTATGACCTCTCAGGCTGTGCTCTTAACCCAACAGAGGAGATGCCCACACTTCCCCTCATGGGGTAGCTCACTCACAGCGATGGGCCAGCAGTCTCTAGTGAAGTGGTTCTCAACCTGTGGGTCGCAACCCCTTTGTAACAATGAAAATACACCCTGCATATCAGATATTTACATTACGATTCATAACAGTAGCAAAATTGCCGTTACGAAGTAGCAAATAATTTTATGATAAATAATAAATAAATTATTTATAGTAAATAATTTTATGGTTGGGGTCCCCGCAACATGAGGAATTATATTAAAGGGTCACGGCACGAGAAAGGTTGAGAACCACTGCTTTAAGTGAGCATGGGTATAGAATGCACACAGCAAGACAAAACACTGATGTGTGGTGCAGACAGGGGCTCTGGGGTGACTGGCTTGGAACTCGAGTTCAACAGGGGCTGTGTGGAGCCTCCAGGGGCCCCTCCTTCCCAGAGGTGAGGGCGAGGTGTGTCATCTGGCAGATGCAGGTGGGCAGGGACGTGGCATCCACTCAAGTTACCAAGGAGCCCAAGTCAGGGAATCTGAGTTGGGGACTGACTGGGCTGTGTATGGGCTGCAGGACGACACTGTCCACTTGGTGTACGGGATCTTGGAGGAGCCGTTCCAGTCGCTAGAGGCCATCAACACCTCAGGCCTGCAGACGGGGCTGCAGAGGGTGCAGCTTCTGAAGCCGGAGCTCCCCATCCCGAACCTGCCCTCAGACATGCCCACCATGGAGATTCGCGTTCCCAACGTCCTGATCCCTGACAACGAGACCACGTACTGGTGCTACATGAAAGAGCTCCAGGAGAACTTTCCCTCACACCACATTGTCAAGGTCTGCGGCAGGTGGGGGGATCCAGGGCCAGCTCCTCACCCCACCACTGCCCCCCATCTGGGGCCTGGGTTGCCCCTGACCCTGGGCAACTGTCCATGGTCCTGGTTGAAGTCCGGCAGGATTAGTGAGTGCTCCCTGGTCCCCTGACACCCTATGTGCCCCCAGGGGCCTCTGAGTGCCTGGATTTCTGCCCCTTCCCTTGGGACTGGCATTGCCATCTCTCTGTTGGTCTCTCAGGCTACCTCCCACCTCATGAAAAAGCAGCTCATCTCAGAACTCCACTGCTCTAAAACACTCCACAGAGTATCACATTAATGACAGTGGCTGTGGCACAGACACAGCTTTCCTGGCCATGGGGACAGGGTGTGGTGACTATGAACGTCAGCACAGCAGTGCCCAGCGCCAGGAATGTGCTTGTTCCCTCAGAGGAAGTGCAGCCCAAGGGGGTTATGTGGGTACCCAAAGCCACACGGTGGGGAGTGGGCTGGCCTTGGAGTTGTGCCCAGGGAAGGGGGTCTAACCAAAGAACCGCACAGCCTCCCCCAGAGCTGTGGAAGGCTGGTGTCCTTGCCTAGCCACTCCTAGATTCAGGAGAACAGCTGTCCCCATTCCTCAGGTGTCTGGACCCGAATTTCTTTCACTCGGGCTCTTACGGGTTGCCGGCAGATTCTGCCTGGTTCTTGGTTGGCAACTCCATCTTCAAAGCCCTAAGCCCCAGATGTGCCCCAGAAACTGCATAATTGCCTTGCTTATCCCTCCCATTTTTCAGATGGGCAAACAGAGGCCCATGGAGGGGGTGCTGGGCCAAAGCCTAGCAGCAGTAGGTTGGGGGGTTTCCCTGGGCTCAGCCGGTGACCTCACGCTGCAGTACGAGGCCATCATCACCAAGGGCAATGAGGCCCTCGTGCACCACATGGAGGTCTTCCAGTGCACAGACGAGGTCCACAGCTTCCCGAGCTACAGCGGGCCCTGCGACTCCAAGATGAAGCCTGACCGCCTCAACTACTGCCGCCACGTGCTGGCCGCCTGGGCCCTGGGGGCCAAGGTGTGTCCCCGGGCCCCGGCATACCTTCTGGACTTCCCCTGCACCACTGGGGGCCTGATGCCCCCACACGTCTGTTTCCCAAAACCCAAGGGCCCCCCAGATCCTTTTGGGACCACTGAGACCACTGATCCTTGGGGCGACAGAGCCAACTCCCAGCCTTTTTACTTTGCCATTAAAAACTCAAGTGCCCCATGAGCATATGCACTTCCTAGGTCTTGATTCCCAGCTGGAATCAAAGGGTTTCATGCACAGAGTGGTCTGGGCTGGCCGGGGGCAGGGCCAGTTGTGGGGAACTCCATAGGCCAAGACTGTGTGGGGCTCTGTCAGCTTTCCTTCTAGGAGTCCAGAGAAGAGGTGGGGGCTAGGAGGGGCTTGGGGATAAGGCTGCCCCACATCCTGACCCAAGGCTTCCAGGTTGTGCCTGAGAGTGGTAATGAGCTGCCTGTCAGCAAGAGGCTGTCCTTGCCCCTGCTGCCCCTCCACCTGCCCCTGCAGCTCAGCTCCTGTCCAGGACCCTCTCATGACAGCCAGCCTCTCTGACACCCCTCCCCCTCACAGCCATTTTACTACCCAGAGGAAGCTGGTGTCCCTTTTGGGGGCCCCGGGTCCTCCAGATTTCTCCGCCTGGAAGTTCACTACCACAACCCACGGAAGATGCAAGGTAGGGAGCTCTGCTGCTGTCCCCTCCTCACTCCAAGCCCCAGGGCTTGACTGGGTCAAGTCAGGGAGAAAATTACACCTGGTGTCTGCTCAGTGTGGTGCCTGATTCCCCAGTGTCTGGCTGGGTGACCGGCCACTGTTGTGGCTCTTATGGCTCCCTCGTTCATGGGCTCCCGGGGGCAGGGCCTCATGGGCTCACTGTTCTCTGCACCCCCAATGCTGAGCCATGGCCCAGCACGAGGGGCCTGGCACTCACACACCCGCCTCCTGGCCTCCCTGCCCGAGTATTCCCATTGACGTGGCACTGTCCCAGAGGTCACCCACATGGGAATGGCCACCTCTGTAGTTCCTCAACTACCCATTGAGGAACTACAGAGGTGAAGGGACATTGCCAGTGCGGAAGGATTTGAGGGCTGTCTCTTTCCATCTCTATGGCCTCAGTCATGCAGCCTTGGGGTAGCCACACCTACACTTGGCTCTGGCAAGGCCGGGCTGATTCCAGAGCTGCCACGCTGCCTCTCCTGAGGAGGACTCTCTGAGCTGCTGGGTCAGTCTGAATAAACACAGCCCCCCCACCCCATGCTCTTTTACGTGCCAGCCTGAGCAGGAGACTAGCCTTGGACACGCTAACCAGAGTGCCCAGGCCAAATGGGGAGAGGCCCTGGGCTGGAGCAGAGCCTTGGGTGCCATTACCTCACAAGTCTAACTTCCCAAGAAGCTACTCAGAATAACAGCCTCTCCCATCCCTGACATCCCCTCCTGAACAAGTGACCCGCCAGCCTATGCAGGCTAGGCTGGACTAGGACAGGGCATCTGGTGGATGGTAGGCAGGCAGGCCTGGCTGCAGCATAGGGGAGAGGAGGAAAGCTGGAGGCATACAGAAGTGGCCACTGGATCACCCCATGCCTGAAGGAGGAACAAGCAGGTTGGTCTTCAGGATGACAATGCCAGTCAAGACCATTTCAGAAACTAAAAATGTTTCCCTCTCTCTGTTGTACCAGCATCTTCTACCATATATAGTCACTCTAGTCACTCTCTTTTTTGAATGATGCTTATTTTTGTTTGTGCAAGTGAGGCGCTGGTAGCCTAATAGCTAAGAGCACCGGCCCCAGGCTAGGTTCTAGCCTGTGCCTCACTAGCTTGGTGACCCTGGTGGCTGGCCTTACCCTCTGCCCATTTTCTCACCCCCATAGTGGCTGTGAAGCTGGGAGAAGCTCACCTATATCATGCTCCCGACTTGGTGTGGGCACAGGGCTGTGCTCAGCTAACTGTTGCCAGGGACTTTTTCCCTGGCTGCATAAGTAATACTTTTGCCACCACCAGAATTATCTGCAACGTGCACAGAGGAGGTGTAAGTCAGCTTGGCCTCAGCATGATACAGGATTTATTGCTCATTTAAAACCTGAAAGCAAATGGATTTTTGAAAACTCCTTAAGCGTCAGGGAAGTCTGTCTGTTCCTGATTATCTGGCCGTATTTATAGATCCTGTGCCACACATAAGGACACTCCTGTCACTTCACAAATCTTAAGATGGGCTGCTTTTCTATAAATACCAAAATCCCACAATTACTTCATTATTTAATCCCCATGTGAATTTAAACCAATTGCAGCACCCTTTTTATTATTATCCTCTGATGTAAACTGCCCAGAGATATAGGAACTGCTCCCATTTGGATGCCGTGGGGCCGTGTGGGGTGGGGTGGGGAGGGAGGAAGGGGGAGGCACCAGGAGGTGATTTTCACTGCAGCTTAGAGAAAACAAGGAGGGAGGGCCAGCCCCTTTCCCACCTGTGTCCACCCCGCACTGGGCACCCCGGCAGCCAGCCCTTGGCTCAAATCCCGAGATCTTGGGTGGAGTCCTCAGTTCAGGCTCCATCCTCAGTCTTCTCTTCTGTACATTGAGGGTGGTGATTCTTCCTGTGCAAAACTCAGGAGAGGGACAGGTGGTCGAAACCACAGCTGGCACCCAGGGAAGACAGTATCATCCACACGGCTCTCTTTGGGTTTTTTTACACTGTGGAAAAATGAAAAGAGCAGACATGTGTGAAGAAGATAAAATCGCCCCCAGCCCCAGCCCCCAGACCCCAGCCACAGCCGCAGCGCCCTGTTTCGAGGTGAACACTGCTGTTTTGAGGCTGTGTGCCTGTCCCTACTAGTTTTCTGGCCTGTTTCGTCTTTTTCCTATGACCAGGACTTTGTTTGTGGCTCTTCTTACTTAATCTCCATGTGAAGACTTGTCTGATTTCATGTTCCTCACCGCCCGGCATCCCTTCCCCGTGGTGGCCCAGGGAGCAGAGTGCCCCCTTCCACCTCTGCTGTACGTCCAAAGGCTTGGAGCCACAGCCAGTTCCCCCTTCCCAGGCCCAGCCCAGTGTCTGCAGCCCTGTTGCACATGCTCTAGGTGTGGTCATTCAGGAGGAGAGGGCTGCCTGGAGGCCACCTGGTTGTGTGGATGTCCAGTGCAAGAAGAACAGGCAGGTGTGGTCACATCACAATCAGGGGATGAGCGTGGTCTCCATGATTGGACGAAGCACCAAATGCTCCTTTGGAAGGGGTCCCCGACTGTGAGCTGAGGCCCAGGGAGGGACAGCGAGTCATGGAAAGCATGTGCTGACCACACTGGACTCGGGACTGTGCTTGAGCCAGGGGTCAGATCCTCCATTCCCCTGGGGCCTGCATTCCCTCAGGTTCTCCTAAGTTGTTGGCTCTGTGAGTGGGTCCCTGGGTCTGCCTCCATCCTGCAGGACAGAAGAACCAGGTTCTTTAAAAGCTGAAAGCAAATGGGTTTTTGAAAACTCTTTAAGCGAAGAAGTGAAGTCTCTTGTTCACCTGGACATGCAGATTTGCTCACACATGCTGCCAGCGGGAGCCCTGGCTCTTCTGTGAGAGAGCTGCAGGCGGGAGCTCCATGCCCTCCGTGCCCCAGACCATGCCCTGCAGACTGCCACCCTGCAGGCTGCTATCCAGCTCAGGTGCCGTGAGTGTGGAGGAAGCACATCAAAGCAGTGCGAGCTTTCCCCATCCACCTGGGCATCCACCTCGGGTGTCCAGCCAGGCCTCCCACCAACTCTGTAGAGGCTCTCCAGTTACTGGGCTCTGTCAGGTCTTCCAGAACATTCAACCAGTTTTTGTAGAAACAACAGCTTTTCCTTCTCAGTGGGTATCACATGGCCAGTGTTAACTTATTCTTGCGAGTCGCCTGGCACCCAGAGGTATGGGAGCCAAGGCAACGGCTCTTGGCACACTGGGCAGGTGGGAGCAGGTGGGGGGGGGCCTGACTCTGCCACCTGCTGCAGGCAGGTGGGGTTTGGGGGGCTCTGTCAGCAGGGGTGCTGAGAGGGCCCCCACCCTCCCTCCCCACCTCTGTCCACAACTCCTTCCCCAGGCCTGCGGGACTCCTCCGGCATCCGCCTGTACTACACAACCAGGCTGCGGCGCTTTGACGCGGGCATCATGGAGCTGGGGCTGGTGTACACGCCCGTGATGGCTATCCCCCCGCGGGAGCGTGCCTTCGTCCTCACTGGCTACTGCACGGACAAGTGCACCCAGGTGGTGAGTGGGACTGTCCGCAGGGAGGCCTCTGCACCTCCCCGGCAGCCTCCCCCTTCTCCCCTGGCTCCCCGTGTGCTGCATTTCAAGACTTTGGTTATGTAAGCGCCAGGCACATGTGCTCACCGGGGAGAACGCAGGCAGGGCGGCTGGAGACGAGGCTCCTGGCCTCACCCGGAGGCAGCTGCCTGCTGGCTCTTGTGTCCTCCAGACTTTTCCAATGTATTTATGCACATCCTGACAGGCAATGAAAACTTCTGTGTTTTTCTTTAAAACACATTGAGTGGTTTACAAATTATTAAACAAATGGAGTAATTGGTCCTGGGATCTCCCTGCAGCTTGGGGCTCCTTCTAGTGTGGGCCAGGTGAGGAGTGAGGCACTTGGGGGGCACACCCTTGGGAGCACCATCCCCGGTGCCCAGGAGCTTGATGGGGGGGCAGGCACAGGTCGGTGTTCAGACTCCAGCACCAGCTGTGGAGCCTTGGCTTCCGGAGGAACAGGGACCCCAGAGCTGCGCCTTCAGTGCAGTGTTGACTCCACCAAGGCCCGAGCTGTGCCCACCTATTTCCCTACCAGGGAGTACTTTGTAATGCAGGGTTATGCTTGGACAGACTTCCTGTAGATTTCTAGAAGTGAAATTGCCACTCAAGGACCTGAACCTATCTGAATAAATCCTGCAAAACGCCCTCCAGAAAGCGGCCTCCTGGCTTCCTCCCTCACGTGGTGTGGGGGGCGTCTGGGCCCCCACATGCTCACAGACCCATCGGTTATCAGCATTGCAGACGTCCTCCCAGTCACTGGGGAGGAAGGCACTTCAGTGTCGTTCAACTTGAATTTTCTATTTGTGGAGTTTTAGGATCTTTTCATCCGCCTCTTGGCCATTTGTTCTTTTCTGTAAATATCTGCTCATTCCGTCGTTCAGTGTTTCCAGGGGCTTGTTTTTGTTCTTACTATGGATGTTGAGCTCTTTTCATATTAGGGGTGTTATTTCAGAGTTTGGTGCAAATACATTTTCCTGTACATACTTTTACTTCCCACAGTGACCTGCGAGGTCACAGGAGAGGACACTGGGGCTTGCCAAAGCCATGGCCCAGCAGCCACCAAGGAAAGGTTCAGATACTGGTCTGACCTTGCTTGGTAATGAGTTTTGCAATGGACCGTCCTTTGCTCCTGGGGCCTCAGTGTTCCCTGAGTGGGGCAAGCCAAGTTCCCTCTGGGCTGCAGAGGGACGGAGCCATCGGCCTCCTGGCACACGTTCCCTCCTGTGGGAGACTTTTGTGAGAAATCTTAACCCACTCTCTGAGCCTAATGCCCTCTCGTGCATCCCTGAGGCCCTCCCTGTCATAGGCGCCGTGGCCAAGGCTCAGAGGAAAGCGTGGCCCAGGCCTAGCAGCTCCCACTGCCCATTGCGGGGACCCAGATGCTTTGGACCTGCTGACCGTGAGGTCACGTCTCTTGTCTTCCCTTACCAGGGCCCTCAGACACTTTACAGCCACAAAATGGAAGTGTTGCATCTCCATTTTAGCCGACAGGAGGGGGCATAAATCCCACAGCCAAAAGTGTGGTGCCATCTAGGCAGCCCAAATAGTCAGAAAATTCAAGTTGAATGACACTGCAATACCTTTTTCTGAAATGATTAAGAAAATACTCACAATACTGATAACTAGGCAGTCTGGTGTGTGTGTGTGGGGGGGGGCGCCGGGCACCTCCTGGAGGGCATTTTGCAAGATTTATTCAAAGGAAAAAGAAAAGATGTTGTTTTAGACCCTAAGCCCCAGAGGAGCTTTATTCCTTCTGCAGCTGTTCGGAGCTCAGCCCTCTGCAAGTGGCTGGCCTCTGGGGGTCATAGGGCCATCACAAAGCCCAGGTGCCCCCTCACTAGAAGGGGCTCCCGGGCCTGGCACATGATAGCCATAGGTTCCCCATTCCCCACATCACTGTGGCACAAGGCTGTCCATTATGACAAAGCCAGGGCCCTTGTGTGTCTCCGGTCTGGAGAACGAGGAAGGTAAAAGGGGGACAGACAGCAGGTGAGCTGTAAAAAGCCAGAAACCGAGGTCACTAGGTGATGAGCTGACAGCACCTGAACTCCCACCCCTGCTGACCACATGGCTGGAAAGCAGCAAAGCACATCAGTGGGTGTCAAGGGTGTGACCGAGTCACTAAGAAAATGCTCAAAGCATGTAGTGGATTTTAGGGAATTTTCCAAAGTTAACGTTAGGTCAGGGAAAGCTCTCACTCTGGGAAATCGTCTCACGCCCTAATGATGAAGCGAGGCCTCTTGACCCAGGGGCTGCCATCTTTTCTAGGCAGCTGCCGGTAGCTCTGATGGTCAGCTGTAGACCAGGGAGGGCATGATCTCAGGGACAACTTGGCCTCAGCTGTTTGCAGATGGCACGAGTTGATGGCATAGGGCAGTGAAGGGCCTGCCAGGGCCGGCACAAGGAGGGCTCTGCAAAGCAGGACCCCTGCCGCTATTTACTGTCTGCCAGATGGTGGGCCCAGAGCAAGGAGGCCACATCTTGCACAGCTGGGCAGTTCCGCCATGCCCTGCCCATGAGGGCTCACCTTAAGAGGTTTATTAGCTGAGTGAGGGGCTCAAAAAGGGACTAGGGGACCAAGGCGACCCATCTGCTCCTTCATGAGCTTCAGGGGCCACCAGCTGTGGCTGCTGCAATGGGTCCTGGGCTGAGCCACCCTGGTCCTGGAAGAGTCACTCCTGGCTGGGTTTTCTGACACGGGCTCCAGCTAACCAGGGAGAAAAATCGTATGTATGTCTAAGGGAAGTGAACCAATCAACATGGCTGTTCCCTCGTGTCAGGAGGGGTCATGGGGTCAGGCCCTGACTTTGCTGGTCCTGCCCCACAGGCGCTGTCCCCTCCTGGGATCCACATCTTTGCCTCTCAGCTCCACACACACCTGACAGGGAGGAAGGTGGTCACTGTACTGGCCCGGGACGGCCGGGAGAGGGAGATTGTGAACAGGGACAATCATTATAGCCCTCACTTCCAGGTAGGTGTCACCCAGCCTGCTCGACCTTCCTGCTCTAATCTAGTCCCCTTCCTGGCCAGCTCTGGCCTCCATCAGGCTGGGGTGGAATGGACGTCCCAGAGTTGGTGGGGGGACTGGGTCAGGCCCATGCTCCTAAAGTCTCCCCTTCTCTCCCGTCTTGGCCCTGCCTGCCCAGGAGATCCGCATGCTGAGGAAGACTGTGTTTGTAAAGCCGGTGAGTGCTGGGCAGGGACAGGGGAGGCTGCCTTACCCACTGCCACCAGCAGGAGCCAGGAGGGGCTAGGGTACTGCCTCCAGAAGAGAGAGACAGAGGGAGCAATGGGGAGGGGGGAGTCCTGCAGGGCAGGGTATGCCTGTGAGTGGCACAGGGTCTGGGCCTGCTCCAGGGCAGGCTCTCTAGAGTTCATGGAGTGGTACCAAGCAGGAAGGGACCATATGGCGTGGATGGTGGCCTGCACTGTCTGGTCTGACCCTACAAACCACAGACCCTGAGCATTTGGAGAGAGATGCCCCCATCACACAGGGGAAACCAGCCCAGGTCCATCCACAGTCATGCACAACCAGCTGGGCCACTAGTGCGGGCCTGCGCCCCATCCGCCTGTGTCCTAACGGGCTGGACCCCAGTGGGTCACAGGAGCAGACGGGTGATGACTTCCTCTGACACTCAGACTATGACCCTTGTGTTGGGGGGGGGCAGGGGCACTGCTGGGTTCCCTGTGGCGGGCTGACACTGATTGTGTACCAGCAGGTGCTGTGGCCCCATGAGCTGGGCCTCGAGCACCCAGCGACACCAGGGGGCAGGTGGTGATGGGGTCTGTGGGCTCTTTCCCCAGGGAGACGTGCTCATCACTAATTGCACGTACAACACGGAAGAACGGCAGCAGGCCACTGTGGTGAGTCACCAGGCCCGCCCTTGCCCCTGCCCCTGGCCCTGCCTGGGGCTACACTTGGTCTGGGCTGTGGGACAGAGTGTTCTGACACTCTCAGGACAAATCTGCAGTGTCAGCATCAGCTGGGAGCTTGTGAGAGACACCGCAGCTTAGGCTCCACCCTGGACCTGTTGAGTCAGAGGTGTGGGTGTGACAATCCACGTTTCAACAAGACGCAGGTGCTTTTGACACCTGCTGCAATTGGAGAGCCCTCATCTCCAGCAGGCGCCAAGTGCAGGGATGATCTGTGAGGAGAGGCAGTCTGGGCCCCACGGTGCTCACAGCACACTGGAGAGGCAGACAAGGCTGTGACCAGACCTGAAGACCAGGTCAAGAAGCCGCAGCTGCAGGGCAGGGGCCTCGCCAGGGAAGTGGTACGGCCGCCTGGTGGGCACAGAGCAGAGGGCGGGGGCAGGGATGGGTGCAGGAAAGGGAGGACCAGAGGACAGACAGTGGTGCTAGGGTGAGACGTGGGTAGGTTTGGGGTGACCAGCCAAGGATCATTTTGACTGGATGGCGAATCATCCAAGGAGGAGGGAGTTTCCGATTTGAAGGCTTGGTGGGCAGGCAGCACTGGTAGGAGGATGGCCAGGTCAGACCACTCAGTCGGGCTGCTGAGTGACAGGTGATGCCCCTCACAATTAGGCCAGGCCCAGGTGGTCGTGGTCTATGCCTTTACCACCTGGGCCTGCTAATCACTCTGCCAGTGGCTCCCTGACAGCTGTTGTACTAATCTGTGTAGCTCCCAACAGCTGTCCTGTGAGTGGTGAGGTCTCCCGGCCCTGGGACCTCTGCCCTGTGTCACAGCACCATCTCCACATCTTAGCCGACCCCAACTCTCAGCCCCACTTTTTAGCAGCTTTGCTGAGCTACGATTCACACACCACACAGATGACTTATTTAAAGCGAGTGACTCAATGGCTTGTAGCATATTCACAGACACGTGACCATAGGCAGAGTCAATTTTAGAACACTTTCATCACCGCCAAAGGAAACCCCACCCATTAAGCAGTCCATGCCGTTCCCCTCTGCCCCGAGCCCTGGGAAGCCTCTGCTCGACCTTCCATCTCCAGGGCTTTGCCTCCTCTGGACAGTTCATAGAAACGGGACACATGCTGGACGGCCTCTTGTGTCTGGCCTCCTTCCCACAGCATGAGGCTCTCAAGGCTGTCCCATGGCAGTAGGGGAGGTGACGATGTCCCCTCCTGCCCCCGTGTGGCTGGGCAGTGCTATCTCCACTCACCTGCCGGTGGACATCTGAGTTGCTTCCTCCTCTCACTTAGTTTTCACATCGGTCTCTAAGGTAGGAGGTTTGTCCGGCTCTGCACAGCTGAGATACAAAGGCTCAGAGGGGGAAGGCACCTGCCGAGGGCACACAGCTGACAAAGGGCCTTATGCCTGTGAATCACCCAGCCACCTCCCTCTGGATTTGGGGTAGCAACTGCTCTGGGCCCGTGGTCACAATCTCAGGGACAAGAGAGCACCAACCCTTTGTTCCACCAGGAGGAGGGTCTCTGTTGCACACAGCTGCAGCTGACATGGCCCTCAGCACTGTCCTAATAACATCCTAACCTCACTAAGCCTCGAGGGACCTTTGAGGCAGGTACCACCAGCAGACGCAGTAATGTCCTGAAACCAAGAGCACACTGCTAACGGGTGGCAGGGGCAGTGGTGGTGCCAGGCAGGTGGGTGCCCCAGTGCATAGCCCGGCCCCGACATGTGCTGCCATCTATACAGAGGAGAGTGGGTGAGGTCACACACTCAGGGCTCTTGCAGGTGCAAATGACCAGGAACCAGGTGGGAGGGGCCAGCTGGGCACCCTGGGAGCAACCCCTACAGGAAGCCCCCAGCCACCGTCCAGCCTCACTCTTGCTGGGGCCACGTTCCCTGCACTGACTGGCTTCACAGCAACTGAACTGACACCTCCTCCCAGGACGCTCAGGGCTGCCAGGCCTAGGAGCACTGCTAGAGTCTCAGAGTGCAGATCTTGGGTTCCAGGCCTCTCTGGGGCCTCCCTGGCCCACGGAGAGCTCTTAGCCCTGCATCCCTCATTTGCTGACTCAAAAGACAGTGGGCTTTTCAATTTCCTCCCCTAGGTGAAAGACAGGAGGAAGAAGAGGCGATAGCAGGGTTGGGCGTCAGTTTCCCTTGATGTCTGTGGCAGCAGCAGGCTGGGGTGGGGCAGGAGCTCGCAGAGGAGGGCCACCTTTCTGACAGTGATACAGCCGGGAAATGAGGCAGGACCAGGGAATAGTGCCAGAGAAACGGCCCGTGCAGCAGGTGCCACTGCAGGGACTGTGCCCCAGCCTGGTCCTGGCAGGGCTACACCCCTGCTCTGTCTCCCTACTGTGGGGGCAGCTAAGGGAGGGGCCAGCTGGGTTCTCAAGTCCTTTTGTTCTGCCATAAAGAAGCAAATGCCTTTCTTCCTTGGGACATCCTGCCAGCCAAACATAATCCCCAGACCCACTTCCATGTTCACAAAGAGCCGGGAGCCTGGGTGAGGCTGAGGTGGGCATGGGGTTGCACCCAGGCTGGCCTGTGGGATCCTGGCTGGCCTCCCCACCCTGCCCACTGCCTCATCTTCCTCTGGCCAAGGTTCCATGTGCACCAGCTCCAAGAGCAGGGACCCTGCAGGGGCTTAAAGCCTGCCATGGGGACTCAGAGGATGCCTGTCCTGCTCCCCATGCTATGACAAGGCTGTGGGGGGTGCCCTGGGAGGCTGGAGATCATTGTCACAGCCTCTAGTCAAGGCCTCCTCTCCTTGGCCTCCTGCTCCTCTCAGAGCCCTGCTCTGAGACGGCTGATGGGTGGTGAGGGTCGCAGTGGGAAGGGCCTCCCTACCATCCTTAGTGCCAGGCTTTCACTGGAGGTGGAGAGGACAGCTCCCCACCGACAGGCTGGAGGCTGCATCCACTTAGGCTGTGCCACTGACTTTGCAGCCACCGTGGGGCTTGCCCCTTGTCCCTTCTGAGGCTCAGTTTCTGTTTCCATGACATGGGCACAGTATACCCCTTCTGGTTACCCTCTTTTACTTTTCTCCAAAACATTATCACCACCTGATAGGAGTTTACGAGTCAACTTGTTAGCTGCTGACGGTGGGAGCTCAAGGGCAGGGACTCTGCTCCCTGCTCCACTCCAGGGTTCAGACACAACCTATCACTCTGGTGGACGAGTGAATGGATGCAGTGAACATGTGCCCATGATAAAGGCCACTGGCTGACAGCATCTGTGAGGGACACCCCGGGCTGATGGGTCCTCTCGGACTTGCAGGGCGGCTTAGGGATCCAAGAGGAGATGTGTGTCAACTACGTGCACTACTATCCCCGGACAGAGCTGGAGCTCTGCAAGAGTGCGGTGGACGCCGGCTTCCTGCAGAAGTACTTCCACATGGTAGACAGGTGGGAAGACCCAGCACAGACACCCCTGCCCTGTTAGGCGGCTGGGCAAACAGGGGACAACCAGACTTAAGTCTCAGTGTCTGCAGCTGTGTGGCCACCAGGTCCCTGCCCCCCGCAGTGCCTGGACTTGACCTAAGCAGCCATCACTAACCCACCAGTGACAGGGGAGATGAAACCATTGCTGGAGGAGGTGGCAGAGCTGGGGAGGAGGAGGCAGGACCTCACTGGGTCCTCAGAGGGGTGTTGCCTGTGCCCAGCTGAGCTCCCTGCCTGTCTGCCACAGCTCACACTGGGCTGGTGCTCATTCCTCCAGGTTCAACGACAGGGAGGTCTGCACCAGCCCTCAGGCGTCCGTCCCACCACAGTTCGCCTCCGTCCCAGAGCAGTTCGCCTCTGTCCCCTGGAACTCCTTCAGTAGCAACGTGCTTGCGGCCCTGTATGGCTACGCCCCCATCTCCATGCACTGCAACAAGTCCTCAGCCGTCCGCTTTCAGGTACACCCACACAGGTCTGGGTTGCGAGCACATCCTTGCTCCTTTCTGATGCCCACAGACTAACCCCACCTCGGTGCCCAGCTCCGCCCCAGGCTCTCAGAGGAGCCCCCTGGGGTGACAGGGCTGCTCCCAAAACTACTGGCAAGAGGCACTCACATGAGACAGGGCAGGAACCCCTGAGCATGGGGAGGAAGGGTGAGGCTAATAATGCCACTGGGAGGGGGACAGCCACTCCCTTGGTGGCATCTCCACTGTGGGACTAATCTCCCTGGGTGGTGTGAGCAGGGCGCCTGCAACTCCCCAGAGCCTAAAAATAAAGAGCTGGGGGAGGGGAAGGTGGGAAACCAAACAGGCTGAACCTCAGGCTGGTTTCCTCCTTCTCATACCGGAGCCAACAGCATTCAGACACATCCAATTTACCCCCAGCCCAGGGCTGGGCCAGGAGACCAGGGCTGATGCTGAGTTAGTCCATAAGACTCCACAGCCCAGAGATCTGGACCTTTCCTGAGAGCATGGCAGAGAAGGGTTACTAGCTAAATCGGACACACCCACCCCGAGGGCAGGCTAACAATGCTGTCTGGCCTGAATCCTGAGTCCTGTGGGTGGACATCAGAGGTTATAGTGTGTGTGGGGGGGTGGGGGGTGGGGTTGTGATTCAGTTGAGAGGTGAGCAAGGTGTAGAAGGCTGGGTGACTCCCAGGTTCCTGGACAGGTGGGGGCATAGCCTGTCAGGGGGCATTTACCGAGGTGAGGTCCCCTAAGGCGCAACTTGGTGGAGAGAGTGAGTTCATTGGGGACAAAGTGAGTTTGAGGGCAAGAATCCAAGAGGCTCCTGGAAGAAGCGGCAGGGCAATGGCAACCTGACATGCCCTCCAGCCTCAGTTTTCTTCCTGGCCCCTTCCTTACAGGGGAATTGGGACCTGCAGCCCCTGCCCAAGGTCATCTCCACGCTGGAAGAGCCCACTCCGAAGTGCCCCACAGGCCAGAGCCCTGCCGGCCCCACTGTGGTCAGCATTACTGGGGGCAAGAGTTGAGCAGGGCCTGCTCCTGTCCCCCCAGCCCGTGCCATTCCTGTGGCTCATACCAGCTCTGTGCATCCTGGCTCTGTGAACCCCATGGAATAGCTCTGTGTGCCCAGGATGAGGGGGCAACTGAGCACTGCCCCCAGGCCATGGTGCCTGCAGCCTCCCCCACTCAGAGCCCCTGCATGGCTGAGAGGTCCCCTCGAGGACTCCCTGGGGACCAGCCCCATACGCACCCTGCTGACTCTGTGAAGACAAACGGTGGAGGTGGTCCAGGATCCAGTGCCCTCAAGCCCTGCCCCTCCTTGATGGACACAAGCTCACCCCAAATGGCCTCGAGCCGCCCTGCTCGTCCTGGTGGAGATTTTTGTCAGGTGTGTGCATGCTACTTACAAGCTTCCCCGCGGTGGGTGGCTCCCCTGCCCACGGAGGCAGGACATGGCATTTAGCTAGTTAGAGACTTGCCTGTGGAAATTGCTCCATTGCAGAGTAAATAGATATTTCCACCCACCTAAAGGGAAACCCTAACAACAACTATCACCATCACCAAAGCCCAGACAGTGGCGAAGACCCAGGCTCCGCTCCTGGGCATGGGCTCCAAGGGAAAGGGCGCTGCTGGCCTCCGGTGGCTACCCCTGGTGGTGGGACATGCCATGAATAGACCCAACTCTCAAAGCAACCTCCATTAAAAGCCTGGTTCTGCCACTTAGTGAAAGTGTGACTTAGGTGAGCCATTCTGCCTGCCTGACCCTCACTTTTCTTGTCTATAAAATGGGCTAACGTGACAAAAAAGTGCAGCTGGCCCCCTTGGGGTATGGAGAGGCTCACGGTCAGTGGCCACTGCTCCGGGGAGAGTACTTTGCCCTGAGCCTCCTTCCTGTGCCAGGGGTGGTGCCGAGTGCTCTAGCTGAGGTGTGGCTGAAGCCAGCCTCAGGTTGGTCTGGGTCTCTGTCCCCTCCCTCCTCTTCGGGCTGCCTCCCAGTGGAGCATGTTTTCTGGAGGGAGTGACATATTTTGCTCTATTCAGTCAGTTCAGCAAAACACTGAACAGCTTCTTGGGGAGAGAGAAGAAGATGGATGGACCTGGGGTTCCCCAGCCCATCCCCAATATCGGCTAAGCGGTTGGTCTCCTGCAGGCACTTGTTATAGATGGGAACCGTTGGGCCCAGATGCACAGCATCATGTCACATAAATCACGGCTTCTCATGGCCCATAAGCCACAGAGTGGAACTGCTGTGAGATGCCAGGCCCTGCCTGAAAGCCAGCTCCAGCCCTCTGTCATCTTTACAGCCTTGGTGACAGGTGGAGGCCAAGCCCTTCCCTGTGGAGTCAGGCCAGCCTCTGGCCTTGGTCTTCTGGCCCAAGAAGGCCCTTCCCTCTGACATGCCTGTTGTCAGCCAGAGAAGGGGACCAGACAGTTCGGAGCTTCAGGAGAGGGTGAGAGAGACTCACAGGCCATGGAGTAAGGCTGACCTCCAGCTCCCTAGCCACCTGAGAGGCCCCAAGGCCTGCCAAGCTCACAGACAAGGGAAACCAGACCCACAGAGGGAAAGAGCCTCACACAGGGTCAGAGACCAGGAATCCGCACAGTGACACCCCCACCCCTGCTGGCTCTCCTGCTCTTAGCCTGGTCATCCCCTTTCCCCAGTGGGCAGCCTATAGAGAGGAACTGGGTCCATCCTGCCCCAGGCAACAGCAGCACCAATAGCCTCATGCCTGCCAGGTCAGCGTGTACCAGCTTCTGGCCGAGCTGTACCAGCTGAGAGCCGTCACCTCAGGCCTGCTGGCTCCAGGCCAGCCCCAGGAACTTGTATGGGCTGCACCTGCTCCCCTTGACAAGTGCAAACTGAGGCTCAGAGACCTACAGTGAGGTGCCAGGGTCACCCAGAGTGACCCCAACTCTGACTCCAGCCTCTGGGCCCTCCTGGGGACTGCAGAAGAGACATGTTTTGTTAGTGAGGATCCTGCCGGGGCCAAGTCTCCTCCACATTCCCTCTGCCAAGGGACTCCCCGGCTCTCCCTGAGCACTCAGGGACTTACCTGGGTGTAAGTCCAGCCGCCCAAGTTCCCATTCCTACCCCTGCGTGTGGCTATGGGGGGGGTCACTTTCCCTCTATGGGCTCAGGTCTCCCCCTCTGTCCCCTGAGGAGAATGTTCTCCAGCTTCCTGGGGGTGAGAAGTGCTAGGGCAAGGTCATCAGGTGTGAAGTGCCTGGAGCCCCCAGGGGAGGAACTGAGGGGGCACTGCTCAAGCTGTGGGCTCCTGCTAGGGCAGGGATGTCTGTCTGAACAGGTCCCAACACACCCCAGGCCAGTGCTATCTGCTGGCCAATAGCCTCATGCAGCCATTGAAGCTTAATATTAAGTTAATTAAAATGATAAAAGCTGAAATATTTGGTTTCTTGGTCACGCTGGCCCATCCCAGGGTTCAGCCTCTGTGTGTGTCCTGGGCTACTCCACTGGATGGGACAGGTGGGGAGTGTTTCCGTCATCACAGAATACTCTGCTGGGCGATGCTGACCCAAGTGCGGCTCCAGACAGCAGCAGGTCAGCCGGGATCCCTGGGGCCAGACCCCCTCAGATGCACTCACAGTTGAGAGCCCCCCAGATTGGCCTGACTATGGTGACCACAGACAGAGATTGCTGAATGGCTGCAGGGTGACCGTGGGGTACCAGGATCTTCCATGGGGCATTTGTGCAGAAAAATTTTTGTGTTTAAGGATCACACCTCCTGTGCAGAATTTCAGCCTCTTTGGCAAAGGGTCAGCAGCGCCCCCACTGGCCATTGTGACCACCAAAATATCCCAGCATCTGTCCTAGTGCCCTGTTGAGAACAGGCTTGGGGCAGGGACTCTTTTGCTCACCCAGCTATAAAACCCTCCCAGTCCTGGCTCCCCCACGCAGCCTGCCTAGCAGGGGAGAGGCTAAGCCCCAGGTTGGTGCTCCCACCACCCCCTTCTCCAGAGCAGCTACAAGCACCCTGTTAGCCCCCCTCGGCATCCAGACCTGAGCCCGGTGGGGTTGGGGTATGGCCCTTCCAAATCTGCTGGGAACACCAAGGGCCCCTGGGGGGAGACCGGGAAATCTAGTGGGGGTGAGAGATGGGACCAGACCCAAATGTATTTGGAACATAGAGCCAGTGAGGGTTGCTGGCAGATTCTAGAGTGTGAAAGGAAGAGAAGACGAAGGCCATATTCACAAGGCCCTTCACTCGAGGACAGATGCACTGCCCAGGTCATGTGGCAGGCCAGCTCCACCCCAGGCCCTTCACACAGCAGACTCCTTGCCCATCCGCACTTCAGTCTGGCCCTGGAGCCTCTCCACCAAATGCCTTCATTGCATTTTTATCAGCTGCACCGGGGGAGGTGGGCTCCATGCCATCTCCATGTGGAGGAGGCATCTGGACACAAAGCAAAGGAGGCGGGGAGATGGGTACCTCGCCCCTGCCAGCCTGGTTCTTCCCTATCTCCTATAGGAGGACCAGTGGCCTCACATGCTGGCCTTGCTCTGATGTGCACAGCTAGGAGGGCATGACAGAGAACAGGGACAGGCGTGCCCCAGTGCACTCAGCCTGGGCTGCCTGCTCCAGCTGACCACAGCAGGAGAGAGCAGGGTAAGGAGGGACCTGCCCACCTGCCCTCTGCAGGGCTGGGTAAGTAGGGACTTGCCTGCATGCCTCCCACAGGGGCAAAACCCGCCCAGGCCCTTCCCAGGAACTTCTGAACTCCAGGATTGGTGGAGTCATGCACAGGCCATGTCAGGGGCTTGGGCCCCCTTCTCCTCTCTCAGCTTCTAGCCAACACTTTGTCTCCTTCACAAATAGCTAGTTGTTAGACCAGAGCTCAGGAGGACCTGGCTCAGGGCGGTGGGACATGAGTCTTCCATAGGTGATGTTGAGCAGCTTATTAGGGGCCATTGTACCAGTGGGACTCCTCACACCCTGCCTATGGAGCTGGTGAACTTGGGAGGTGATGCATAGTGGCCGCTCTCACCTCAGTGACCTAGAGGGGCTGGATTACTTCTTGGCCGAGGAAACAGGAAATAGGAAGTGTGAGAAAGCTGTGTCCCAGCTGCAGACCATGACAAGTGAGCTGGATGGAGCCTGGGCACAGACCTTTCTCATCCTCAGCTTCCCCCAGGACAGGCTGCAGGATGAATGTGGTCACAGGCCCAGCCCAGGGGTCTGTGGCCAAGCCGCAGACAGTGGGGTGGGGAGCAGGCCAGGCCATCTGAGGCGCCTTCTCTGTTGCTGTCCTTCCCTGGCTCCATAAAGCCCTCTCCACCCAGAGCCAGGCCTGCCTGGGAGTGAGCAGAGGCTGCAGGTGTCTACAGCCTAGATTGTGTGAGAGCCAGAGGCCCTCACCCTGCTCTCCAGCCCACGCCCTCCCTCAGACTTGGGGAGCCAAATTCCTGTCCAAAGGCTGTGCGTGAGCCAAATGTCTTCCTGTGGCTTTGGCTTTATCCTCCAGGCTTGCTCCAGCTCAACCCACAGCAGGCTGTGTGGTATGTGAGTGTCCAAAGGCAGCCAGGTCCTTCCAAGGACCACCTGCACCCAGATCAGTCGCTGCTGCCCGTGTGGCGCTGTGGGAGCTGACTCCACTGTCCCCTGAGCACCTCCCACCTCAGAGGCCCAGTGGGCAACGAAATCCTGCCACTCTGAACCAGAGCACCAGGGGACATGGGAGGGGTGAGGCTCACCAGAGGACAGTGCCCCCTTACACCCTAGAAAGCAAGACGGAAAGGGCAGCCCATCTCCAGGCAGTGCCCACGACAGCGTCCTACTCCAGGCCCCACACGGGAATATGTCAAGAGCAGAGACAAAGTCATCCAGAGAAGGGGGTTCCAGCAGCACACCCTCCTCCCTAGGCCTGGTGAGCAAGGATCTTGGGAAACCACGGCAGGAGCTGGCACTTCTGTGTGTGAGGGTGGGCATTAGTCTGAGCCACACACCTGGCTCACGGAGAGCAGGGAGGGCAGGGAGAGAAGAGCTTCCTAGCTCCCTGTCCCAGCAGCTGGGAATCAGGCTACCTGCAGCATTACCTTGATCTCAGGGACAGGCCAACACCTCCCCACTGCAGCCATGACAGGCAGTGCCAGCTGACTGCCATTTCTCCCCCATGACCCAGACGAAGCCACATACCCTTCCACCAAGTGCCCTGGGCAGCCACTGCCCATCCAGCAAGTTGGAATATAAGCAGAGCCTATTTGCTTCCCTGCCTTTATACTGGGCTTGTGTTTACTAAGCACCTCCCCAAAGCTCCCAAAGGACAAAGGCATGACCCCTGAACCCTGGACATTTGCAGGACAGCTAGGTGGGTTAGAACCCACTCTCTGGCTGGTGGCTGCAGGATGGTCCATCTCAGTCTCTCTGTCCATGTCTTGTTTGGGAGGTTTAGCAGGACCAGGTCTAGACTAAGAATGGGGAGGGCCTGAGTTGTGGCTCGAGTCCAGGATCCTAGAACTCTGGGCCATTTAGAACCTGTGGGAAATGACGGGTGTCGGGATGGGGCATCGGGCCTTGGGGTTTTGGGCCTCCTGAGCAATGGTGGGCCCGTCAGTAGATTCCTTTCACCCTCTTGTTGTCGGGGTCAAAGGGAGATTTCAGGCGAGCCTGAGCAGTGTAGGTCACCCCCATCCTCTCCAGCGCATAGTTGCCACTCTTCACAAAGTCCAGTGAGACCTAAGGGAGGCAAGATGGGATGGCTATGGCTGGGTGGGTGCTGAGCCGCCACCTACCTGCTTCTGAGAGGGGGTCTCAGCCTGGCTTCCTGCCCTGCAGGCAAGCTCAGCCCTGTGCCAGCCCAGCCTTCCAAGGCACTGCCCAGATGAGGCAGGGTTCATGTCCACATGCCCTGTGTTGGACTTAAGCATCTGGGGCCCAGCAAAGCCAGGTCCAGCGAGCAGCAGGATTCTCCTGCAGGACAGCTCATCTCCTTCCTCTGCTGTCTCAGATCTCTGGGAAAACAACAGGGCCAGACACACAGCCTGTTTCCCTGGAACCCAGGCAAGCACCGCGGCTGGAGCACCGCTGAGGAGGCTGGCAGTCAGCCGGGCTCGCATCCCAGGGGACAGGGTGGCTGGAACGGCTTTCTAGACAGCCTGGCCCCAGCGTGCCCCCATCCCACGCCCCAGCTTGGCCTTCCCAGCAAGCCCTTGGAAGCAGCCCACCCAGGCACAGGTGCCGCTTGGGCAGGCGGGACGCTGTGTCCAGCACAACATGAATGATGAGACTTGGCGTCTGCCGTGGGGGCAGCAAAGGCAGCTCAGGCCACATGGAGAACCTGGTCTCCTGAACCCTAACTAACCCAGGGCTGGTCTGCAGGAGCGTGTCTCAGGGCTCTGCTCTGAACCCTAACTAACCCAGGGCTGGTCTGCAGGAGCGCG